AAGAGTAGCAAGCAGTCCTCCAGTCAAGTTGGAGCTGTATCTCAAGGTAAAGGCCCCAAAATTGTTTAACATTTTCACCACCTAATCCATTTAAATTAAGTACAAAACAACTGACTTTATAATGATGTATTTGTAGATAAGCTGAATAGGATGGAACAGTTGGTTACCAACTTGAATGCTGAACATCAGGAGAAAATGTCCCAACTGCAAGCTCAGTCACGGCAGCTGGTTTCTCAACAGCAGATGATGAATCAGATGCATGAAATGCTTAACCAGCTAATGAACGAGAAGGAGGAGGAGAAGAAGAAGAAGAAGAAAAAGATTTCAGATGCAGAACCTTCTAAATCTGCAGATGACTCATCCTCATATGACTAGCTGATTTTTTTGGCACATTGTTTATGATTATTATTGCTTTTATTTCACTTTTGTTGGGAACATTTTTGTATTGTTTAGGATTAATTATTTTTATTTTGTTTTGTTGATATACATTTTGAATTTTTTAGGATTGTTATTGTTTCATTTTGTTAATGCACATTTTTATTTTTATTGTTTATGTATTATTATTGTTTCTTGATGTTTATGTTTCTTGTTTTTATTCTTGTGTTGTTGTCATTATTGTCCCTAATTAGTTGTTCTTGATATTTCGAAATTCTTCTTCAAGTTAGTTCACATAATTTTTATCATATTCTTACTTACCAATTCATACCAATGTACAAGTCAAAACTCAATCTTAGACATGTACTTGAAATCTTACATATTAACACATTTAACCTAATTAACTCAACCCATAGGTTGACCTAGATTTTCACACTTTCACCATACTTCTTAACATACACTTGATCTTACTTGATTAATTTAACCAAGCACTTATTGAATTAAAAACCATATTGAATAGTACTAGTAAGGTTACCATGCATATTTTTCAAACTTCACAAAGCCATTTATCACACTAATCATCAACTTACCAAACCTTAACCATAATTCTTCATTAACATGACATGAAAACAACTTCTTAGACAATTAATTCATGCATGGCTGAAATACAACACAGATTTTCCAGGACAGTCTTCACTAATTAAATCACAAAAATTCCATTTCTGATTTGATTACCTTGAATTTTTTATATGTTATAGTAGACATGCGTAGCTTTAATTTGCCATAAACCACGTTCCAATTAGAGTTTTATAACTCCATATATGATTTTTACAAAACGGGCAGATTTGACTCTATTAAGGTTTATCAATTTTATACAAGCTTCCTTTGATTCCTACTTGATTCTTTCATCCCCATAACCACTAAATACCATCAATACACATTAAAACACATCTTAAACACATGATAGAACACACTCATGTTCAGCCATATTCATCCAAAAACCTAAAATTACAACTTGAAAGCTAACCGTTTAAACTTGAGTTTTTTTTACACAAATGAACTCCAAATCACCTAGAGATCCTTCTCCAAGCTTCAAACCATGAAAACACTCAACTTTAGACCCATGAATAGTGTCTTGGTCGCTGCCTTCAAGAGGAGAAATCGAAGGATTGAAGGCTTTTGAGAAGAAACTAAACCATAAATAGGTTCCTAAAATTCCAAGGATGATTTCTTGTGAACAAGTCATGATGTTTTATTGAAATTTACTAGGTGAAATGAGCTCTCAAAGCTCTTTAATGATAGCGGGTAATGGAGGAGAAAAAGATGGAGAAATTTCGTGTAAAGAATGTGATAAAACAAGAAGAAATAACCTAAAAACACTTGAAAGCTTATTAGCCACTTTCTTTGACTTTTCTTGATTTTAACCAATTGAATTAGTTAACTTAGCATGCATTTTCCTCCTTTCCTTTAACATGTGCACTGATCTTGGATATTAGGAGAAAGCATGACCAACTTTGCATCTCAAAATATCTAAGTTACTTAATCATTAAGCTTACTTTGTATCCTAGTCATCACTTTGACCTATATGGCTTCTTATTGGTTGATTTTAATAAAACTTTGACCTATTTTTAATTAATTATCTAATCATCATCTAATTAAATTAAAGACACCTTGATCCCATTAAATTTACTACACAATTTAATTATGCCATCTAATTCTATATTAGGCCTTGTTCTGTCAAGTTTTAGCTTACTTTGACTTAATAATACTTAGTTAATTTCTTAACATTTGACTTAATTCTTTTAATTTTTCAACACACTATCTATTTAAATTAATCACACTTATGTGTCATAAAATTTACCAGACAATTTAACTAGATTGACAGAATTTAGTTCAGACTTAGTTTTGTCAAATTACCAAAATAACCTTGTCTTTACCAAATTGACATCTATGTTCCAACACATATTTTATACTCTTATCTAGGTCTTAATTGACTTGTTAAGAATGATTTGTATCCTTGTTCCTCTTATAATGTTAATTTCATGATCATTTGATCATTACTTGACATAACTTGTCACAATTTCCTTGAACATATACTTGATCTCTTGAACACTTTCGTTGTTTGACCTAACTTGATAGTGGGGGTTGTTATAGTGTTTGAGGTCAAGGAGAATCTAGATGATAGCATTAACAAGTGTGTAAGGGATTTCACCATAGAGAAGGCATTGATTATAATGCAATGTTCTCTCTTATGGTAAAGTCTATAATTGTTCAGGTGATGTTAACCTATGGATGGACCCTAATGTAGTTGGAAATAAACAATGTCTTCCTAAATGGGAATTTAGAGGAGGAAGTTTACATACAATAACCTCCTGGCTTTGAGGCCAAGGACAAGTAATTGGTCTGCCACTTACATAAATCACTTTATGGACTAAAACAAACTCCAAGGGCTTGGTTTGACAAGCTCAAACAATCCTTAGTATCTCTTGGATTTAAGTCCAATTTTTATGGTCCTTCTTTATCCATTTATAAAACTGATGTTAAATGTATCTACATGTTGATTTATGTAGTTAATATCATTGTTACTAGCAATGACTCCTCTCTTATGCAGCACTTCATCTCTCAACTTAACTCTGCATTTGCACTCAGAGACCTTAGGGAACTTGATTATTTTCTTGGCATTGAAGTGAAACAGAGATTCTCTAGCTCCTTATTCTGACTCAGACAAAATATGTAAGAGATCTTCTCACCAAGGCTGAAATGCATGAAGTGAAGTCCATTTCAACTCCCAAGCCTTCTAATTGTAAATTGTCTTAGTCTGGCTCTAATTACTTCTTTGATCCTCATTTTTATCGCTCCATTGTTGGGGCTCTTTAATATGCAACAATCACAAAGCCTGAAATCAGCTTTGCAGTCAACAAAGTTTGCCAATTCATTAGCTAGCCCTTAGATGATCATTGGAAGGTGGTTAAGCGTGTATTAAGGTATCTTCAAGGAACCAGCACCTTTGGCTTTTCTCTTTGTGCTGCCAATCCAAAGCAGCCCTTTTCTCTTACAGCTTTTTGTGATGCGGACTGGGCAAGTGACCCAGATGACCACAGGTCTACTTCTGGTTCCTACATTTTTATGGGTCCTAATATGGTATCTTGGTGGTCCAAGAAATAACCCTTGGATACTAGATCCACAGCTGAAGCTGAATACCAAAGTTTGGCTCTTGTGATGGAATTTTGTGAATCAAATCCCTTCTTCATGAGTTATATAACACCTCGTATATTTGAAATATATTATTAAATGCCTAATTGAGGGTTAGAGGGCGTATTTAGAGAAAATTTTGAGTTTTGAGTCAAAATACCCATCAGGGGCAAAATGGTAAATTGCCAATTGTGTAACCCTAGAGAGTGAAATGATAAACCAGAGCTTAATTTGAGGAATATAATACTTGAAATGAGTTCATAATGAAAATTTCAGTTGATAGGTGCGTTTTGTGAAATTTGATGAATAATGATTTATAACGTGTAAAATACTGTGGGGTCCATTTTCAGACTCATTTGTATAAGTGGGGTCCATTTTCAAGGGAGAAAAAAAAATGAAACTCATTTTGAATTTGTGTGTGAAGGAGATAGATTTTATCTTATGCAACATAAAAATAATAAATCTCTTATATTTTTTGTAACAGAAGAAATGAGTTGAGCTCATCTTTGAGCATAAGGATGGCAGTCTCGGTGTTTTAGCATGTAAACTTTTTGGAGGATTCTAAAGCAGAATCTGGGAGCACAATAGAGTTTTTTGGACCAACCACCACGAGTTGACACAAATTAAGATCAATACTGATGCCTCTTTCTATTGAGTTGACAAGCGTATAGCTAAATCTCCTATCCTAGCAGAAATAAAGGCACTGCCTAAGGTTGTCCACCTTGCGGTTACATGGGGAACAAAGCATGTTGATGTTCTGATAGATTCAAGCTAAGCTTTTCCACTAACAACCGGTGGTTTTCAAAAGAAATTTGTTACTTTTAATAAATTAAAAAAATAATCAAAATATCGGTAAAGAAATCCAGAAAAAAAGGAAGCTTTCTCAGCATATACCTTATCCCAGTTTCCTTAGCGAGCAACCTAAATCCAATTACCTTATGGGGGTATCTAGTTTCAGAAAATTTCCCTCCTCTTCCCTCGTAATTCAAACAGTGCAACTAATTGCCTAGCAGTTGCAAGCCATAAAGAGTTGCGTCTTGTAGATTGGGCTTCCGGGTCTTATAACCTATTTCTGTTACTTTGTGGGCTGTGGCAGGATCTTTGTCATAATCCTCCCTAGCTTTACTTTTGTTTCTTACCGAAGGACTTCAAAAAAAGGTTGAAAATAGAAAACAAAATAAAAATAATGTGATAATATTGTAATTATAATAATAACATTTCAATTAAAAATAGAAACTGAAAACAAATCAAACACCTCTTAGTTATTTCCATTTTTATCTTACCAGAAGAAGAGCTTTTAGACATTATTATTGATCTATTGCCATTACACGAAGTGGTATTTTTCTTGTCTGGCCATTTTCTTGAAAGCATATTATTTACATACATAAAAGGTTGTTTTAACCAAAAAATAATGGAAAAATATTTTCTCATGTTGTAGGAGATTTTTTTTTTCTACTATCCTTCCATTTTCGTACAATATTTTTTTTATTTTTTAATAGATATGAACTCCACATAAAATATGTCTACAAAGTGAGAAAAATAGCGCACCTAGAAAATCGAAACACAAAAATAATAATCTCATAATCAGTTTGCTATAGGGATTAATACATCTGCTTGCTTTTGAGGCAGAAAAGACAAACTGCAGCAAGGGGGAAACGACATCATTTCTTCCTTCTTCTTTTTTCCTCTTTGGTTTTTGATTTTATTTTCCCCTCTTTTGTTGCAAAACATCTTCTTCCCTCCAACCAGTCATTGTGTCGGAGTTTCGCTGCTAAATCGCACACCATCATCAAGCCACGTCTGTAACCTTCCATTGATTGTCAGAATATTAACATATCGTCACTTTCATTGTGTCTTGAAAGGGACGCATGAAAGCAAGACATTCACTTCACAACCATAGGTTCCACCACATTCACTTTCATTGCTCATGCCTCTGCAATTTCTCAAACTCCATCTTCATCCACCAACAACATTCCACAACATTACCACCACCACCACAGCTATTACCTTCACCTTCTTCGTTCATGCAAACTCTTAAATGCTCTGCTTCAAATTCATTCCTGTTTGCTTGTCTCGGGACTCTAACAACATCACCATTCCATCACTGTCCATCTCATCAATTCATACTCTTTCTTCCACCAATGCAACTTGGCTCAATCGACGTTCAATTCTATCACTAACCCATCTCTGATTCTGTGGAATTCTATGATTAGAGCTTATTCTAGACTTCACCAATTCCATAAAGCAATAAACTTTTAACATAGAATGTTAGAAATGGGACTTGAAACAGACAAGTACACATTTACCTTTGTTATAAAGGCTTGTACTGGTGCTTAAAATTTCCATGATGAGGGTGTTGCCATTCACCAAGATATAGCTTGGAGGGAGTTAGAATGTGATACCTTTATTGGGACTGGTCTCATTGACATGTCCTGTAAAATGGGTCACCTAGATAGTGCACAAAAGATATTTGATAAGATGCCCAAGAAGGATATTGCTGCATGGATTTTAGGCTTACCTCAAAGCTCAAATCCTTGTGAAGCACTGAGAATGTTTTGGACCATGCTGATGGAGCGTGTCAGTTGTAAATATGAGAAATAGAGATTAATTAATGAGAAATAGAGAAATAGGATATTTCAATGTTTTGGACCCTATTCTGTTTGTCCATTTTTGTGGATAGATTAATGAGAAATAACGATTTATTCCCTTATTTATTTTTGCATAAGTTTGTTGTGCTTGCTATGCCTTTGCTAGTTTCGGTTGAAGGGTCATGATGGAAGAAATCTCTGATTAGCAACGATTTCTTGTTAATTAGATTTCTCTACAAATATGGTTTGCAAGAACGACAACTTATATAGACAGAGCTTTTAATGTCTCGGAGATGGAAAAAACATCATTTAAAGATCATCAAATCCATCCACCCTCTAATAGTCTAATGATTATATAATTCTTATGTTACATATATTGACATATTAATCTACAGGATTATGTATGAACGGATTGGATTGGCTTTGGAGAAAGCTTATGTAGGAGGCACTAAATCCAAATCCGAGTTTCTCACTTCTCCATCATCTTAAAAAGCAGACACTCTTCTATTGTTCTGTTCCATTAGTTTTGATTTTATTTTTTGGTACTCAATGAGGATTTAACAGCATGTATATTAGCAAAGGCAGTGCAACATAAACTAGCCAACAGTCATTAATTTAAACTCAAACAATAGACCGGTCTGAGCTCAAAGATTGCTTCACATAATTTAGATCTATTAGGATTGTTTAACATGTTAAAATGAAGCAGAAGAATGTTAATATGAATAAGGTATCAGTTGTAAATGCCCTTTTGGCTGCTATAGATATGAGAGACCTAGAGAAAGGAAAGGAAGTTCATAATATTGCTTTACAGTTAGGGATACTATTAGATATTGTTGTTGCTACCCTTATAGAGAGCATGTATGCAAAAATTTCCAACTATATGGTTCTTGTGTTCTTGTACTCTTGTTACAATATTGCTTACGTATTTCACCTATATGGTTCTTGTGTTCTTGTACTCTACATAAAATTGGAGTCTCACTAAATTCATCATCATCATCTACAACAATTTCATGTATATTATCCTCCCCGTGGTCATCATCTTCTTGTTTCATGATTTCACTATCATCATCTACCATAATTTCATGTACATTATCTTCTCGCGGCCACCATCTTCTTCTTTTATGATTTCACACTTATAATCTTCTCCAAATCCATCGTTGTCTTTCTCTAGATCAACAATGTCATCATAACATACTAAACTTCCATTCATATCAATGTCTTCAGTAGTTGTTATAGAGTGATCCATCATAGAGAAATGAAAAGTTTGAACAACAACCCCTAAAAAGTAGACAACACAACCACTAATCAAACAAGAGGAACGCTTAATTTTGCCAACAATTGTCATATTGTATGATGAATCTCTACTTTCATTGATTTAGATTTTTTTCTTAAAAAAATAGCACATGTAAATAATTGACATGAAAGGGAAAAACAAATAAACAGATTTTGGCATCATTCTATGATGAATATAACTTCCATTTATCTAGAATTTCATAGAAAAAATAGTTTGATGAATATCATCATCAATATTGTTTGGTATAAATCTTATTGGACATAAATACTTGCAACAAGGACTTCTTACTGTTGCACAACTAGCATGGTTAGAAATTGAGGCTGCCCATATAACTCCATATCATAATCTCCTTTAACCAGTAAGGTATTGTAAATTAAATTGCAACTTCTAAAGCCACAATCACTACCTGTTCAATATATCTTAAAACGCTTTCATCTGTTAGCTTGTTTCCGTTTTGATATATAACATGGAAAACTGCGTATAAAATAGCAAGTTTAATGCACACAGAATCAAAGAATATTCCTGAAAAGAAATAAAAAGGAAAATTAGCTTACCATCCATGAACCACCTGCCATCAATCAGCACTTATTCAACATCCAAAAGAATCCCATGCTTTCTAGCGCTATCAACCTGGGAATTTCATCACAAGAGAGAGAGACGTTGGTATTTCCTTTTCCTTATTTTGCATGAAATCCAACAATCTGTGGCAAAAAATGAAGAATTTCACGTGGGGTTACCTTGACTATAGTCGCTGTGGAGCAAACAGCATTGTCGATCACAAACCCTGTTTAGCAGTGAAAGCTCAAAGTCAGTGAAATTAACAATTTTTCCCGAATTTCTAACCTGAATAAAAAAAACAAAGAATTAGAAAGAAAAACATTCTAGATGCAAGCACACGAGAAATTAAGTGTTAGACACAATAACGCTTTCCCTTGCCAAATGAGGAATGTATGAACATAATTTATGCTGCTGAATGAAAGAAGATTTAGCGAGTTTTTGCTTCGTAATAAAATTCAAGGACAAGAATGACAATGTTTCACATATTTATCGTGGACTTCCATAACTAAATTCCTTAGCTTAAACGGATTTCATGATTGAGCGAAAGGTACATCGTTATATATTTCAGAAACGAGAAGAAAAGGGAAAGAAATTAAAATTTCACCTTTTCCCTCTTTGGCTTTCACTAACTAGTTTTCTTTCCTGTATTCTTCGTGTCCCCTCGCAGTGGCTAACAATTAGCAACGAAACTCTAGCATAGTGGCTGGTTCCGGAGAGAAGAAGATGGTTTGCAACGAAAGAGGTGGAACATAAAATCAGAAACTGAAGAGGTAAAAAAGAAGAATGAAGAAACAATGTTGTTTTTCCCTCAAAAGCAAAGTGTCTTTTTTTTTTTTTTTTTTTTTTGCCTCAAAAGCATATATTATTACTAGAGAAATATTACTTTCCTTTCACGTAACATAGTTTCTCTTATGTTCTCTTACTTCGATTTTTGCACTTCACTTTTTTCTTTTTCTTTTTTTTTCTTGTAATAGTGGAATCCACCTATTTTCTCTCTACAACATAAGATAACTATCTTATGTGAAAGGAAAATAATACAGCCCTTATAACTACTATCGTATCATATCTTACTATAATAAACTTGTATTTTTTTCCTAAATGACGATTTTCTTTGAATTCATTGAGACTTTCGAGCACATCCTCACACATCATGTTTTAGTTGAAGTAAAATATAATATGTAAATTATTACAAAAAAAAATATATATATAATATGTAAAAACAATTTGTTCAAGTAATATTTGTAAGTACATAAGTGTCCTAGAGACAATCTGAAAGTCAGATGGACCCATGTATTTCTTTATTGTTATGAATAAATTTTATGAATAAAAGCATTTTTTATCGTGTTCCATATTGCATGTCTCAAATATTGAATATGAGTAACTAGATAAAGTCCTTGGAATGGAATGGAACGAGAGTTATATTAAGGATCTGTGACAAGGATCATGATCATGAGGGCTCAATGGCACCACACGTCCTTTGCCAGAAATATGTTCTTAGTCTAGAGATACCGATAATGGGCATTGGTGATCTCGGGTAAGACTAGCACGACTCAGCTACTTGCATGGAGATGCAAGGTAGAGTCCTCATGAGCTACAGACATGGAGATGTCTTAGCTGACTCGAGGGTGGACCTATTGGAGAATAGCTCGCACTGAATTGACCCACAAAGAGACACTATAAGGAAATCTCACAGATAGTATCAATAAGTAATGTCTCTTATTATTTGGGTGTGTCTTTCATTAGACCTAACGTTGTTATATAGACCTGAGATCTGAAAAGCATGCTTTGATTGTAAACCTTGTCTGCCTGAAACATGAAGACTCGTAGGTATACTCTTTGGCATGTCCTAAGGACTCAGGGCTACTGTGACAAGCTGAAGAATCTCTGTGAGAGATTAGGTTATCCGTAGACCGATGAAACCGGGATGATATTTACGGGACTCGGGAATCTATGCATAGTAAAGGAGTCATGAGATGGCCCGTTCTTTAGAGTCTGTAAATAAAGATTCCCTGTTTCGACAAAAGCTAACCCTAGATTGCAAGGTTTGATACATTTTCCTTGACCTAGGTCAATGAGATGGATAACCGAGACGAAAGGACAATTCACACGATAACCAAATAGGTATAACAGGTTGATCATTCGATGAACTCAACTAGCTCTGGGACAACAAAGCATCACCAGTGCTCTGTATTGTCATTAGATAGATAGGGCCTAATGGGTCAGCCCATTTATGTCAGTGGCTATGTGGGCCTGATGGGTCGCACACAAACATCTTAAGTTATCTTGAATTTTAGCATATGTGGTTTGGGCCCAATAAAGGATAATGGGCCTAAGTTGGTAAAGCCCACATTTTGGGCCAAGAGAGGGTAGGTGACATCATGGGCAAAGTTGGACTTCATCTATAATGTAACCTAATTAATTTAATGTTAAATTAATAAAATTAATTTGAATTCTAATTTTGAATTTGAAATTTGAAATTTGAATTTAAATAATTTGAATTCTAATTTCGAATTTGAAATTTGAATCTAAATAATTAATTTAAATTCTAATTTTGAATTTTGAATTTAAATTTTGAATTTAAATATAGTCATTAAATTTAATTTAACGAAGATGGAGAAAATAAAGGAAATCAATCAAAGATTGATTAGAAACCAATCAATTTGATTGATTGACCAAAATTAAGGAAACCAATTAATTAAATCAATTGATTGAAATTGGGGAAACCAATCAATTGGATTGATTGTATAAAATTAAGAAAACTAATTAATTAAATTACTTGGCTGAAATTGGAAAAACCAATCAATTGGATTGATTGGATAAAATTAAGAAAATTACCCAATAAGATTGAGATTTGATGAGGCGCAGATTTGACCTAGTCTTAGGTTAATGAGACGCCACATATATATAGCCCCTCTTTTTCCTTAGTTTCGTAACTCGTCTTCTCTAAATTTTCTCCACTGAAACCCTAGTGAACACACACATGACACATCAGTGTGGCGGCTATCTCTCCCTCTCTTAGAATAATCAAAGGCACCACTCACTCTATGTTCTTCTCTTGAGTCTAGCAACGTCCATTGAAGGACATTGAGCATTCGAAGAAGCGTTCTTCTCTTACAAGACAACAAGGTGGTGTGGATTGCCATCAGAGGACTTGTGTTCTTCAAGTCTGAAGAATTGATAAAGAATGCATCTGATCAGGAACTGTTATCCGAACAAAGGTGCATGGTGATGCTTCTACCTCAAGTATTTACATGATTGAGATTAATTTTTCTTGTGCTAACCAGGCTTCTTGGGTATTGGATACTGGTTGTGGTTCAATCAAATTAATTCCTTTGCATGCATTTCTTTGACATAAAACATAAATCAAATCCTAGAATAGGCCTATTGCCCTTTCATCATATAGCATGTTTCAATATTACATCGAGTCTCCAATGAACATATTACAATTTACAACTTCAATTACAAATATTACGATGTAAAACCTCCAAAATGAAATGTAATAACATAAGCTAAACTTAGACGAAATATGACATGAATATCAATGATACAATGCATAATCCTAACTCAATATGATGTTCAAGACCTAAGTCTAGCCTGGGCCCCATGGCCCCAAAATGCAAAATAAACATAAGTCTTCATGCTCAACCTACGGGCCTCTTGCCCGCCGCTCCAGCACCACAACCACTACCTGAAATAAAGTTCCCAAAGCGGGGTGAGATATACGGATATATCTCAGTAACCCAGAGGTTCTGGAGAATACTCTGCCCCATGGCTCACTTCGATGTATATCAACAACATAATATAACATTTAAAAACGGAATAAAGCAAGGGATTTAGTAAAGTAGGGAAGCATAGGGAAACAAAATACGACGAAGCTGGAATGGTCAATGCCAAAACCACGCAACGTTCAGCCTATTGGCCTCGGCATATAGCCTACGGGTTTCAAACCAAGGAGTGTTCCCAGAACATCAACCAAGGCACCCTCCATCCATATCCACCCGAGACTTCCTAGTGTGCTCCTCTACGGATCACACACCACGACCCCAGGTCAACTGGAACTCCCTCACGGAGACCTATCCAGTGGAAGTCCGTAACGCCCAAAGGCAACAGTCTACTGGCTAGAGACACGGTACATCCTATGTACCATTATACATACAATATGCATGAACATGTTACACTACATTATTCACATACATTTCCTACCACTACCCTCAACGGGCATGGTGGAGCACACACGGGGATCAAACCCCATTACCAAGGGATTACCTTATTGAAGCTCCCAAGCAAGGTAGCTCCACGCAAGTTTTACTGTAACTTCGTCCACTCAGAAATGCCCAAATCCTTTTGGTCAAGGACCAAAGGCAGTCCACCAAGCTCAATCCTCAAGCATCATGTCCGTGGGAGGCAACCTACAACGATCACACATAGGATTATCAATCCACATGTAAACCAAGTTAAAACACAACACCAATTCATCCTCATCCAACCAAATTTTTTCTAATATTCTTATACTTAACCATCATAATCTACGTGTCACAAGCTTTCCAACGATATATCATAAGCCTTATTTTGATAAGTACAACCCAAGATACGTCCGCCGTAAGTAGTAAACTGAAAATCCAACGTCACTAGAACAGGGTCGTGGACTATTTATTTATTCTGGAATGATCTACTTCCCAGTTTATTTTGTAATTTTTATGAAAAATACTAGACATTTTAATCTTTAATTTGACACAATAATCGTCCCGTTTCGTTAAGTAACGAAGGAGATATGAATTTCGCAAACTCACTGTTGCTTGCTGTAAAACTGAAACGGGAACGAACAATGCCCACTAAATTTTTTTGAAAACTGTAACGTGAGCTCATAAAATTCTCATATTTTAGGACAAGAAACTAGACATACTAAGCTTCAATTTGGTACCTCACACATGCCATTTGGTTAAGAATTGAGTGAGATATGATTTTCTAAAACTGAGCTCACTATCACATAAACTTCTGACGGCACTTAAAACCTTTACATCCATACGTTTCTTTTACACCATAAAATGTCAAAGTAATTTAAACTTTGTCCTCTCATCACCATAGCACATAACATACCTTAATGCTCTATAAACAGTGACAAACTCTAAAACAATCTCTAACCCATAATTTCTTCAATAAGGCCGAGATACATATATTAGGAGGAAACATGTATTAATCTCATTTCAAACCACTAATTCATGATTGATTCAATTACAACACATTTTTAACATGTCAAAACAACATTCTATAACCATTGAATCACTCTCTTATAGTTTACAACTTCTAGGGCTGAATTGCCCAATTCAAGATCATCATTTTTCTTATGGACCTAATACCATTTTTCATCATTTCAATAATCAAAAGACCACGTCAATTTCAGGACTCCCCTTAGGAAATATTACAAACACGTGGTCTACATATATCATCATACATAGGCCGATTCATTATTAGTATTGTAGGTCATTCCCATTTTTCTTTTAAAGCTATTACATACTTGGTTCATCGTCAAAAGACAACCATCATCAAACAACAAACTTCCTCATCAAATATTCATTATTTAACCTTATCATATTCAGCCCATAAACATAGAAAACCTACATTTTCATGTTATATTTCAGCCATTAAAATTCATGGAACTTACCACCATTAAACTCCAATTGGCTTAGAGATTGTCTTCCAACTTTAAAACTCAGAAAACAGCCCCTCTTTGCTTCCTTTTCAAGTGCAGGTCGCTGGCTTTTCAAGGAGGAAAACAAGCATTTGAAGACCTCTCACAAGGAATAAAATGGATGGTTAAGATCCTAATATACTAAGCTATAAGTTTTGTGTTGAATGTTTGGTCCAAAAGTGATTTAATCTAAGTGAACCAACCTTCATTTGATCACTTGTAAATCTTAGTTTCATTTAAAAAATTTATCAAACACTTAGGTTGCATACTTTCTCATGCCTTGATTGATTGGTTCTTTGTTCCTACAATTAATTCCTTTTGTTCATTTCAAGCCTATACATGCATAGTTTAGCATATAATCAACAAAAAACCAAAACCATACATAAAACTCATTAAATAATCATGATATAAGATCTCCATATTCAGCCCTAACACCATGACAACTCATGTTCATATAATCATAGTCTAGGTATTTTACCTTATTTAGTCTCCTTCACACCTCCTCAACACTTTCCAATCTTCAACAATGGATGAAACACCATTAAACCCCCTTAGGCAGAAAGTCGTTTGCATGACAAGGAGGCAAAAAACTCAACGTAAAAGGCTTCTCTCAAACAACTACACCTATGGATATGTTTACAAGACCATAAGCTTGAAGTTTCATGAAGACATCCAAGAGAAAAAGTGGCTAATAATCCAAGTTCTAGGCTTGCCCTTTGTTTTTATGCATGTTCGGCCTTCAAGAGAAAAAAAAAAAAGCAAATGATCGTGGGAAGCAAACTATCTCCAAAGACCGACTTATATGTAGAAAAGTAATCAAGGAAATTATTTTTTAGTATTTTTTTTTTGACTTGTCAACAATTAATACTAACTTTCTATTTGTTAAATATATCAACACCTTTTGTTTTCCTTCAGGTACATTTGGCTTCCTACAAGAAAAATGAAAGAATCGTGGAAGACTACTAAGAGCACAATTTCACCGACCTTAAAGGGAATTTAATAACCAATCTATTGAATTTTCTATTTATTTATCCTTACACCTTCTATTTAATTTATAACTACTATAAATCTATAAATTTTCCATACTATTATTTAAATTCTTAAAATTATAATTAGACTTCATTTGTCTAATTATTAAAATAATATTACTCATTTCCTAATTAAACATATACTTATTAAATTCCTATAATTCTGATAATAAATTATTAAATGACTTGCTTGGCTTGAGAGGCATTCTTATTTATAACATCATGTTTCTAACACGTGGGTTCGCTTTTTCTGCAGTTACTGCAGATAAATTATCTGCAGTAAGCCCAATACGACGTCGTTTTGGGGCGAAAATCATGGTGTTTTTATAAGTTTAATTTATTTCAGGGTTATAATAGTCTTTATATTTATAATTTTTTAAGATTTCAATACCAAAACGACATCGTTTTGGGAATAAATGCAGATAACTTATCTACATTAACTGCAGAAATATTTTTCTCATTTACTTATTAATATCCATATAAAAGACTTACATAATCCATATATACAAAACTTTCTTTTTAAAGAGCTTATTTAATTTAATATTCATATGGCATTTTAAAATCTTAAAGGTATAAGTTGTTATACCATACTTATAATTTGAACTTACACAAGATTAATAGATCAGATCAGCCTAAAATATTTTATACAAGGCTAACTATTTAAGCCAAAACTCAGTCTAACTCAATACATTACACCCCTAATAATGGCATCACTTGAATTAACCTATTTGAGCCCTTATTGTCTTTGGTGTTGGAATGTCTTACTATACACCCCAAACATATTTTCCATGAGGATCACGGAGGAACACCATTGAAACACTTCCAAAGGAGCTTCTTAGCTGTAAAGTCATATCCGGTTAATTATCTTCAACAATTTGATTGATCTACATATTTTGACCTAATTTAGTTAAATCTCTATTAATTCAGGGCCTATTTGGTGTGACGTATAAGGCCTGATAGTATAAGCTTATATTATACATTATGACATTTTCAGTTGTTTGTTGTGACCATCGTATAGTATAAGCTTATACAGCAGAATCTCCTAATACATCAAAATGATGTATAACTTAATCCGGCCTAAGGGGAAGAGGTAAGGCCTGATAAGAGATTGGTGTATTAACATCGTTGACCAATGTAATTCTCAAAAATTAATATATTGTTTTAATATTAATATATTAAAATAAAAATTAATTTTTCAATATATTAATTATTAAAATATTGAATATTTTTTATATAAAAATTAATTATGTTTTGGACACACTGATCAATAAATTTTTATAAAAATTAATATCATATGACATGTTGAGGAATTATATAAATTCTTTATTAAAGGATTTTTTTATTAAAATATTTATTTTTATCCTATATAGTATTATACAGTGCATTACCAAATACTAGATGATATTATCTTATGCAATATATTATTTTATACAATACCGTGTCAAACGTTGTATAGTATTAAAATTCAATCAGGTATTATACAATCAAGCTTTATACTATCGTCTTATACTATCAGGCATTATCATATACTATGCACCAAACATACCCTCAATCACAAACAAGTAATATGTCAACATGAATCAAGGATCAAAGGGGAATTTACCAAAAAAAAAAGGATCGAAGGGGAAAAATAGAACTTTTCATTGCATTGAAGAATCTAGTATTTCCAAGTCATAAAAAAAAGGGAACATCATCAATAACACTATAAATAGAGTCAGCTAAGCATATAACTTCCCATACCTCTTTGCTAAAAAGAGTAAGATGCTAGGATTTAGAGGGAAATAAAGATGAAGATGTGAATTTGAATGGGATAATTTTTTTCCAAAAAAAGAAAATAGGAGCACCGAATTAGTACCGAAGATTTGTCCATATTATAGGTATTCCATTAGGGGGCGTTTGGTTGAGGAGAAATTTTTATGAATCATAGGGAAATGTGATTACTAGAGAAATGATTGGGAATTGAGTTTGGTACGAAAATGTAAAAAAAGTAGTTTGGTAGGAAAAACTTTTACCAGATAAATTAGGTAACTTTTGTAAAGTCTATGTTTGGCTTTTGGTAAAATATAGATGGGAAAAAAATGTGCTTTTACGAAAATAACCTTGTTTTTAAAAAATGCCCCCTAAGCCTTGCTACCCTTTACCCGTAAAGAGGGTTCTCATTTCAATGAATGGCCTTTTCTTCCTTCAATTTATGAATACAAGTTTGAAGAAAATGAGAAGCTCAGTTCACAGGACAAGCTACCAGCATAATCGCAAACTTAAAAAACTCCACACACGACCTACTAACTCAATGCTATTTTGTTAGCACGGTGAATGAACATTTGTTAATCCTAATCCATCAATAATGATGAACTCGGAACATGAAACAAAAACAGGTACAATATTTAGAAGCACTACAGAAAAGAGTTACTGAGAGTTTAATCCTCATCCTCTTCATCTCCATCACCACCAGCATCTTTCTTAGCAACAGCTTTCTGGTTCTTTCTCCTTACATTTCCAGAGGGTACGCTCGTCTTTTGTTTAGTTGACAATGTGAGCAAATAGCTACATAACGGACAATACCACGTGTGAGAAGGGGATTTTTGGCCGGGTATATCACTACAAATAGATATGCAAATTACTTTGGTAGCATTTTGATTTAGGTAGGTAAATGAAGAATCTCCTTCAACCAAACATGGTCACCACAAAATCCCACTTTTAATTTGCCTATCAATCTACTCAAAATCCTTCAACCAAACACACCCTTACGATAAACAAAAAGAAACCTTATATTCGCAAGTACAAGGGTGATCATGATACTAAATCCAATGCAAAGACACAAGAAACTCATACAATCATCAAAGACGTACAGGAACAATTATCTGTGATATAAATAGGGTGAGTATTCAAGCTCTCCAATGCAAAGACACAAGAAACTCATACAATCATCAAAGACGTACCGGAACAATTATCTGTGATATAAATATAGGGTGAGTATTCAAGCTCTAAATCATTTTTTATTTTTTTTATAAACAACTCTAAATGATTTTGTTTTAGTTTCCATGGAGGTATCTCACTTAACTTTTTTCAGTCACTTTATTTTTGAAATATGGCTTTAGAGTTAGTTTCTCGTTGAGATAGAAAGTGTATCGAACTATTATCACAAGAGAAAGGATTGGATAGAGGCTTTAGGGTTAGTTTCTCGTTGAGATAGAAAGTGCATCGAACTATTGTCACAAGAGAAAGGATGAGATTAATTCTTTGTCCAAGATTTATATAACAAGAGTATTCACTTCTGGCCGAAGAGCATGCGGCAAGGATCGAACACATATCTTTTCGTTGGCGCACAATTCACTTACCAACTGTGCTCGCTCGACGCTCCAGTTTGCTCTAAGGTGGTGTTTGGTTAATGGGTTTTTGACAAAACCCCATGCAAATGAAGATAGCATTTTGGAAAGCCAATGTTTGGTTCATCGAGATTTGGCTGAATACCCAGGCAAAATGGATGCATACTATTTTCAATTTACTGCTATTTACCTATGCTTCTGCACTGTTTAAAAACCATTTTAGGAAGTGGTTTTTTCAAAGAAACCCAGCTTTTCAGGTAGCGTTGCAGACGGGGCATACGAGTTGTAATTTGTTTTGGTTGTTTTGGTTGCAGACGAGCGTTGCAGGCGAGGGCGTACGAGTTGTAATTTGTTTTGGTTGTTTTGTTTGTTTTTATTTGTAATTTGTTTTGGTTGTAAATTTTAAAAAAACAAGGGTATTTTCGTCGTAGTACATTATTTCCCTATCTATATTTTATCAAAAGCCAAACATAGACTTTACAAAAGTTACCTAATTTTCCCAGTAAAATTTTTTCATACCAAATAACTTTTTTTACATTTTCCTATCCAACTCACTTTCCAGTCATTTCCCTACTAATCTCATTTCCCTATCATTCATAAAAATTTTCCTTCAACCAAACACCACCTAAATCATTTTAATTGCAACGTGAAAAGAAAAAAAAAGAAAAAAAAGGTTGCAAGAAAAGGAAAGAAAACTGGGGAATCCCGCTGTTATGCAAAAGGAAAAAGAGTGAAAAAAAAAATTAAAAAAATCCTTTTAAACAATGCAACTTATTAATTCGGAAGGAAGAGGGAAATAAGTAAACCCTAACAGCAATCACCACTCTCTTGAACTCTCTCCATGGCACGCGGAGGGAACACAGTGACTGAGGAACCCATTCCTCTTGATGCAAACGCAACTCATCAAGAAGCACAACACGGTGATGAAGGCGCCGCCGAAATGGTGAAAATCGATGAAAATGCTGAGTTCTTGAACGGTGAAGGTTCTGCTAAAGCGGTGAAAGAAGGTTCTTCTTCTTCTTCTCGTCAAGTTGTTGTGAAAAAGAAGCGAGGAAGGAAGAAAGGGCAACGGAACAAAGTGAGAGAGGAAGCCATTCCTCTGGACTCAAACGCAACTCATCAAGAAACACTACACGGTGATGGAGGCGCCTCCAAAATGGTGAAAATCGATGAAAATGCTGAGTTCTTGAACCGTGAAGGTTCTGGTAAAGCGGAGAAAGAAGGTTCTTCTTCTTTTGGTCAAGTTGTTGTGAGAAAGAAGCGCGGAAGAAAGAGTAAAGCGAAGAAAGAAGAAGAAGAAGAACTTGTAAGTGGAAATAAGAGAGGTAAGAAAAATGATTCTTCTGTAAGCGAAGACGTTCAGAATCATTATGCTTTTAGGGACCGTAAAGACAACAACAAAAGGGAGATTATGCCAAAAATCAACAAAGACCGTAAAGTAACATCAACATCTCTTTGCTCATTCATTATTCTTTCATGTTTGAGTTTGGTGTCACAATATGAGTTGTGGTTATTATTTTTTTCTTCTTCCTGTTTCTGTTTCGTAATGAACAGTGGATCGAAGAGGAGTCCTTAATGTGCCATCAATGTCAGAGAAATGATAAAGGCAGGGTTGTGAGGTGCAAAAGTTGTAAGAGTAAAAGATATTGCATACCCTGTTTAAATAATTGGTATTACTTACTTTCACTCTCTTTCGCTTTGTTCATTTTTTTGTCGTTGTATGTTGTTAGTTATTGTGTTTTTCAATATGCCTTGTTCGCCTCCATGTCCATTGTGCACTGCCAGGTACAAATCCATTGAAGGAATTGAATTGAAATATATTTAACTTTATTATATATTTTTTTTTAAATAGATTATTGGAAGGAAATGAAATGACAAACCCATGTGTGAACGCAGCCTTCTTTTGGTTACCCAAACTTCGAATCATTTGTGTGGGGAGTTTGAAGAAATTAAATATGATATAATTATCTGCTACTATTTCTTATATTAGGAAAATAAAGTCATAATTTAGAGGAAACATTACAATATCAATTTCCTGAAAAGTTATTGCAAAGATTACAAATTTAGATTTTGGTTGATGAAAGCTTGACTGATATTGTCAGTCCTTGATATTTTTTCTGTGCCTTGTGAAGGTATCCTCACTTGAAAGAGGATGATATTGCTGAGAAATGTCCTGTCTGCTGTGGTAATTGTAATTGCAAAGCATGCTTGCGATCCAAGGAACTTATTAAAGTCAGTTCTGTGCCCCCTTCTAGTTTCGCTTTTCCTGTGATTTTCTGTATTCCACATTTAAAATGAGACCATTTGGTTTACTGCAGGAAATGAAGAAAGTTGTGGAAACCAATAAAGATGGGAAAACCAAAAAAGATGAGGAGATTGAGCACCATAAGTATTTGCTGAAAGCACTTCTTCCGTACTTAAGACAGTTGGATGAAGAACAAATGATTGAGAAGGAGATAGAAGCTAAGATAAGAGGTATTTTTTCCTTGAGGAGTCTCAATTGGGGTTACTGATGCATGGATCAATGTTGCTCTGTGAATAAACGAATTTGGTGCTGATGCAAAGTTAGGTTTGATTATTGTATGTGTGTTCCAGTACTTCATTATCCTACACGCTACTAAACCATTGTATTAAAGTGATGTCATGAAGCCACAGTTCTCTTTGCTTTCTGTAGGTTGACTGCAAAAGAGAAAAGATTGTCTGTTTTAAAAGCTTTGATAAACTTTTGGCTTTTGAACAGCCTTCCTGTTGCAGCCTATTTCTTCTAGTTTCCCCCCCTCTATGTATGTGGTTTGCTTTGCGGGTGTTTCCTTCTTCTTTTTTTAGAATTAATCTCTCTCTCTCTCTCTGGGAGTCTGGGTGTTTGGAATAGTTACCTGTTTAATATCCTAATTTGAATTATTTTTCTTGTTTGCAAGTGGCAGCATAGCTTGACTTTGTATCTCATCTCATGCCCCAGTCAGGGTTCTGTTCTAGTTCCATATCTTTTTCACTGTTTAATTTGCTTTTGGGATGTTCACTACAGGGCTCTCGCTCTCAGAGCTAAATATAGAAAAAGCAGATTACTCTATGGATGAGCGTGTATACTGGTTGGGATTTATCTGATTTCTTATTTTTTTCAGTTATCCTCATATTATTTAGTTGTTGACTTAACACTCTTTTTGTAGTGACAACTGCAAAACATCAATATTTGATTACCACAGAAGCTGTACAAAATGCTCTTTTGATCTTTGTCTGATCTGTTGCCGTGAGCTTCGTAGTGGGCAGCTTTTAGGTGGTGGAGATCCAATTGAGTTAGAGTTTGTCTTCCGAGGTCGTGGTTATTTGCATGGTGAAGAAGAAAAAAGAAAGGAAGAAGGCAAAACATCACATGCTGATGCTAAGCCTGGGATTCGTGAATGGTCAAGGTTTGAGTGGCGTGCAGAAAGTGATGGTAGCATTCCTTGTCCAAAAGTCAACGATGCATGCAACCATAGCTTTCTTGAACTGAGAAGCATATTTGGTCCAAATGATATCTCTGAGTTAGTATGTAAAGCAGAAGAACTGGCCAAAGCGTATAAGCTTCAAGATGCAGTTGAGACTCTTGACAATTGGTGTTCATGTTTGAAGCGGGGTGGAAACACAGATGTTAGATATAATAATATGAGGAAGGTGGCTTCTCGTGAAGATTCCAGTGACAATTGTTTATACTGTCCTAGGGCTGTAGATCTACAGCATGAGGATTTAAGGCATTTTCAATGGCATTGGAACAAAGGGGAGCCTGTCATTGTTAGCAATGTACTTGAATGCACATTTGGTTTAAGCTGGGAACCACTTGTCATGTGGCGTGCATTCCGTCAGATAACGAACACCAAACATCATCAACATTTGGATGTGAAGGCAATTGATTGCTTAGATTGGTGTGAGGTTTGTTTAATTTCTCAATATTGAACTCAAGAGGGCTTTTTGCATAAATTCCGCTGTTTACCTTCATTCTCATGAAATTTATTTCTAATTTATTTAATGTCAATAGTTTTTCTAACTGGAATTGATTTGCTTGAAAATGGCATTAAGAGAATAATTCTATTGTTGCAATTCTTTTTTAACTTTTTTGAACTTCCTATACGTTGTCTGAATTTGGTAACCCCATCTTTTCTGGATTGAGAAAAGTTTCAGTGCATTTAATATTGTCAATTACTTAAATTCATAGATTACATCAGAACTGAATGTCCTAGAAAGATTTTGGGAAGTATTGAACCGATCACAACTTTTTTGGTGGATAGTTCCTCTAAGTCTCAAACTTTCAATTCTTGTTGCTTGCTGCATGGTGTCTCTCCCAATGTTGTCAACAATATGGTATTGTGTGATCAATTTATACTGCTATTATTATTATTATAATTATTGTCATCTTCCTCTTAGTTTTGGATTTCATTCCATATCTTTTCATCTTTTCTTACAACTTAATCTCATTATCTTGCTGTCTGTTGTCCCTCTTTGTTTCACTGTTTTTGCTTCACTACCCAGATCCTGCTTTGTTTTACTAATGCTTAATTAACTTTTAGTTTACTTGTTTATTCTGTTGTTGGTGATTTCTGCATTTTTTATTTGAGTTGTTGATTAAATACAGCGAGAGATTAATATCCATCAATTCTTCACTGGTTACACAAATGGTCGTAAGGATTGGCTTGATTGGCCTCAAGTATTGAAATTAAAAGATTGGCCTCCTTCTAATTTATTTGAGGAACGTTTACCTCGTCATTGTGCTGAGTTCATATATTCCTTGCCCTATAAGGAATATACAGATCCTCTCAGAGGTGCTCTTAACCTTGCTGTGAAGTTGCCTCAGCGTTGTCTAAAGCCACACATGGGGCCAAAAACATATATTGCGTATGGATTTGTTCCGGAGCTTGGGCGTGGTGATTCTGTGACTAAGCTCCATTGTGATATGTCTGATGCAGTATGCTTTATATCCTTAATTCTTTCTTGGCTTTTTTTTTAAAAGGATTTCATGTGAGTTATTTGAATTTTTTTGGTTGTTATATTTAAATAGAGTATCGTAAGGTGCATAGTTTGTAGGATTGTAAGCCATTGCATTTCTCTGTTTTGTTTCTTACTATCAGATCGTGGTTTCAAATCTGTCATAATTTTTTTGTTCAGTGCATTTTCTTCAATCCATAAACTCTCATTTGATTTTATATTTGATGGGTTATTCCACCGTTGTTTTAATAACTCATAATTTGAAATATTAATCATGATATGATTCGTGGCTTAATAACATAAGTATTTATGGACTTGAAATTAATGATACCTTTGGTTTAAAGAAATTTGTAATCTGCATATACTTTCATCAGTTGCATGGTTTTTCGTGGTCAAATATTTGTTAGTGCTTTTTATTTATTGCATGGCTTCTCATTTATGAAGAAAATGAAATGTCGTTTTTTTAATCTGGTTGTTTTAGGTAAATGTGTTGACTCATATAGCTGAAGTGAAATTGGATTCTAAACAACTTACTGCCATTGAGAAATTGAAACAAAAGCACCTTGAGCAAGACAAAAGGGAGCTACGCAGAGATGATCAGGGTGGAGAAACTGATGTTGACATGTTGGGTAATTCATCTTCTAATGTAAATGCTTCTGAAAAGCAAAATAGTGTTCAAGCCATGGAACATGAAAGTGGATTATGTGATGGAAAAGTGGTTGAGCAGTTTCATCAACCCTCTGGTGGGAATGAGGTTGCCATTGCTAACGAGGATGATCTTTCATGTGGGTCCGAGCTCAAAGAGGTTGAGAAAGAGAAATTGAAGCAAGAAAACAGTATGTTAGTTGGGGGAGATGCTTCAGAAGGTGCTCTCTGGGATATTTTTCGTAGACAGGATGTACCTAAACTGCAGGAATATCTGATGAAGCATTTCAGAGAGTTCAGGCATGTCCATTGCAGTCCTTTAAAGCAGGTAACTTAGTAAAATGATTTTCCGTTATCTATCTGGATGTTCGTTGTCATCTTGAGTCCTAATAAAGCTTGGTTCGCACAAAGTAATACTGCTTGGACATACTTTTATAACTTACCTTATATTTGTATTATTTGGAGATTTGCATCCTGATAACATTGACATTATCCCATATTTTCTTCTGGTAAAAATTTCATGAAATATACATGTCATAAAGGTTTGGGCGAAGGATCAAGCTGCTGACAAATAATAGTTGTGAATAGTTATTTTGAGAATGGAAATAAATGATTTCTGTTTAATCAAGTCAATGTATTATCATTGGTAACAAATTATGTTGGTGTGATCAGCCATATTGAAACATATCATACTATGAAGCACCGACTCCGACACGGCGTTTTCGATACATTTCCAATATGTTCTCAATACGACCGTTAATTCGTCGATACGATACAATACATTTCCGATACGCGTATCCGATACGTTGGAAAAAAAAATTCGGAGTATCGGTGCTTCATATTATCATATATGGTCTGATACAAATTATTTAATTAATGTACCTTTCATTAAGATAACAATAGATACTTTTCAGAAACAAAAGCAGCAAAATGCATTATTGGTGTAGTTACCAGTCCTAGATGGTCATTGGTTGTTTAAATGAATATCTTTGGTTTTGGCAATTTCGAATTTTTTATTTGGCAATTCATAACTACTGTATGTAGATATGTGATCAGTCTGATAGTCCACTCAATATGCATGTACATTTTTTCTTGATTGGCATATCCTTCGATATTAGAGAAGTATCAGGAGGTACTTCAGCAGCAGTAATCTGCTGTACCCAATTTCAGAAAATTTGTTCTGTTAGTGTTAATGCTGAGGTGTAATACTTCTGTTAGCTTTCTGTCAGTTACAGTTTTGTTACAGGGCTGTCAGTTCTTGTTATTTCAGTTAGATCAGCCTAGCTTGCTCTGCAAGCCTCATCTGTATCTCTATAAATTGATCTCTGCAGATGCCAGAGCATCATAATGAAAAATGCCATCAGATCAGAACTTAGAATTCACTCTCGTTTTCTATCATTTCTTTCAGTTTACTATTTTCACGCTATCTTTCATATCTGTGATGGTATCAGAGCCCTCACAAGGGCCTGATCCACCAGTTCCAATAGCTTCCACACACATTCAATTTCTTGCATCCTTCCCTGATTCTCCACAGCGTAAAACCAAAGTCTAAGGTTTAAAATATGTCTTATACTATTATTGAATCCCCAAAGAGGAACAAGCATAAAATTTACAATGTTTAGGCCTAGCTTGAAATGATCGAGACATTATCCTCGTTGTCCACTGCTAGCCCTAACCTTCGAAACCTAGTTCACTGAAGGTCTGCTTCCCTGAAGGATCATTGCAACACATAAACACACACGCACAAACAGTCGGCAAAAGCTGATAATCCCAATCCAAGACACAATAAGAATAGTCATAACTCAATCAATTATCATAATCAACTCAAGCATTAATCAAGATATGTTATTTCTATTATTAATTTTATTTAGTTTCATTTAGTGGGAAGAGAACTATGGTAGACCCGGGAAACCCTGTTGCTAGCCACATATAATCAAAATTTGGCCATCATTACATGATTTTTGGAGAATTTTCTGGGCATAGGAATATGCCTCTGTTTTGGGATTTATGAACTGTCCTTGGAATTCCTGTAGTTCCACTGTAAACAGTTTTAAGGAATTAACTTACGTCAAGCATATCCGGAGTTATAGAACTCCAATTGAGGTGTGTGATATCTCGTTGGAAAGCTAGAAGAGTCTAGTGTAACATACTAAAAGATGAGAATTTATGGACAAGTAGTCCATCTGCAGTTTTAGAAAAACTGAGGGTATCTCAAGTCTGTAAAACGTCAAATTGTGTATTTAAGCTTTGTTGGTTTATGAGAACCACTTAGGATCTCTAAATAATTGTTGTATGATGTTTAGTCATAGCATTTATGTTTTCGCAATAGTTTTGAGTTATGATCACAACTTGTAAAATATTTAATATGGGTGTTTCGCTAAGTGCAAACATTATTAAAAAGAAAAAGTTTTCCCGTATTTCTAAATGAACTGCTGTGATTGTAACTGCGCTTAATATTATAATTGATGATAACATACTGGTCCGGTAACAGGGTTTACATCATGCATGAATTGACTAACAATACTAATTGCATAAGCTAGATCAGGTCTAGTATGAGCTAGATATATCAATCTTCCACTATTCGTTGAGTGTCCTTTGTCAATTGGAGGGCTCTCATATTCACTTTCTATTATGTGATTCTGCTCAATCGGAGTACCAGAAGGTTTAAATCCAAGTTTCCTGCTTCTTTAAGGAGGTCAAGAACATACTTCCGTTGACAAATAAATATCCCTTGCTTTGAATGAGCAACTTCTATTCTAAGAAAATATTTCAGTTTTCCAAGATCTTTAACTTCAAATTTAGCAGTCAGTCTTTTTTGTAGAGCACATCTCTCACATATATCATCCCTTGTTATAGTAATGTCATCAACATAAACTAGAAAGATAGTGATCTTACCTTTCTGAGAATGTTTAAAGAAAAGTGTATGATTTCCTTGACTTTGCTTGTACCCCAATGAAAGCATGACTTTGGTAAATTTTTAAATCAAGCACGCGGGATTGCTTTAAGCCATACAATGCCTTCTTTAACCTGCAAACTTTGTTATCTCCATTTGTAGAGTTAAATCTTAGTGGGATCTCTATGTAAATCTCATCTTCTAATTTGCCATTGAGGAAGGCATTTTTCAAATCAAATTGTTTTAAATCCCAATTAAAATGAGCGGCGAGGGACAATAGAATTCTTACAGTGTTCATTTTGACCATTGGAGCAAATGTTTCTTCATAATCAATGCCATAGGTTGCGTGTACCCCTTGGCAACTAGTCGAGCTTTATATTTTTCAAGAGTTCTATCAGAATTATACTTCGGAGTATACACCCATCTGCAACCTACTGCCTTTTTTCCATCTGGCCTCTCAACGACTTCCCATGTATAATTCTTCTCCAATGCATTCATCTCGTCACGCATGGCTTGAACCCAATTATCATCCTTTAATGCTTCATGTACTGATTTCGGGATTGAAATGGAGTCAAGTGTTGTAATAAAACTTCTTTGTTGCATAGAGAGATTCTTAGAGGTGACAAAATGAGAAATAGGGTGTTGAGTTCAAGACATTTCCCTTTTCTTACGGTACTGGGTAAGTCAACAGAATTAGTATCGGGCTCAGGAATAAAAGAAGTAGTTTATTCAGTACTTACCAATGGTTCAGGCGATTGCAGTTGCTGGTGGGACAGTGTGAGTTATTTCTTCCACTGGTACAATAGTCTTCCTTCTCATTGTCATGTAGTGTAATTACTGGAGTAGGAGATGATGTAGGTAACAGAAAGGGAGACTTAGACTCTGATGGGCCATGGGCCTAAAAGTTAGTGAAGTAGTTAGTTTGTTATGGAAACTATTCTAGAATATTCTCAAATAATAGGATATAAGGATGGGAGTGTGGGAGTGTGTGGCATGCATGAATTCAATACTGTTTTAGTGGGGAAAATTGGGAGACCTCTAGGGAACTCTTGAGCCAAGGTATTTGGTTTGAGGGGGAGTTGAGGCTTTCTGGGTTTATTTTTTGCATTTTATATTGTATTAGTGTATGTAAAAAGAGGCTATGCCTCTATTGTTAATAAATTCAGTAGAGTATTTTTCTGGGTTCCATCAATGTGGTATCAGAGAATGTCCGATCGGTGCTTATGGTCCAAATCAAAAAAAAAAAAAAATGGAATTCAGATTTACAGTGGTTCCAAAATTTTATGGAGAGGGGCATGGTTAATTGCTATGGAACAATATTTTCAAGAAAATAGAATAAAAAAAGAAGAACAATTGGCAGAAACTTTGAATGGGCTTAGAGGATGTGCATGCTACTGGTATATGCGTTGGAATCGTCATAATCCTAATGCAACATTGTGGGATTTTACCAAAGCATTTATAAGTGAATATCTACCTGAGATTTGGGTGGTAGATGACGAGGCAGAATCAGAGCATTCCACTCTAGAAGATAAAGAGGGAATAACAGCTCTAAAATTAGATCCAGCAATTGGTGGTGATGAAATAGCAAAAGAAGAAATCAAAATAGGAGAAGAAAAAGAAACAGTGAAAGAAACAGAAGTTGAAGAGGCAGAAAGGGAAGAAGCGGAAGACGCTGAAGTTGACGAAAAGGATGACGAAGATCCAGAAGCGGACGATGTAGAAGGAGCAGAAGATAAACACACGAAGGAGGAGATGGGAGCTGTAGTTCGCAGTGGCTCGACGGAAGAAATTGGAGTTGAAATCTGTTTGCACCCATTGATGGATTTGGAGCGCGTGAAGGCGGTGGCGCAACGATTCGAGGAGAGGGACGAAGTGTTACCTCATAGTCCTGGGCGTGGATTTGCTGAATCAAAAAGGCAATTTGGGCTGACCAGCAATGGAGCGGGTAATGGAGCGAGAAAAATGGGTCGACCCGCATTAATGAACAAACCCATTAATCAGCAAAGGGCAAGTGTGGTCCAAGATAATGGGCTGGGTCTTAACCCATGTCAGCGGCCTACTAATTTCCAACGAGGGTCCAATAGTAAGGGGGAGCTTCACAAAAATGGAGTCCAAATCAAAGACATAGGGAAACAGAGGGTGGCTTAGGTCTCGGGAAAAACACGAACGACGGAGGAGGGGGACATGGGTCTATGCTTGGTGGCGCTACAAAAAGGGAAAATGGTGGAGATCAAGGAGGGGCGCGATTCCAGCAACTGTCATCGAAAAAGATAACGGACAAGGTGTCCCATTTTCACCAAACCATGTGTGCAGTAAACAACAACCCCACATAATGTGGTTAGAAGCAGGAGTCGAAAGTGAGAATGGAGACGTTATATTGGCGCACGCCATCGGAGAAGAAGAGCTAGCTATGTGCTTGCATGTGCATAGTATGGTACGAGTAGAAGGGAAAGAAACAATGAGTGGGTATGTGGGCCGAAACAAAATAGGGCCTTGTGGGCCTGGAATGTTGACACTTTTAAAGGTTTGGGTTGGGGGAAGAGACACAAAATATTGGAAAAAAGCATTGGAATTTTGTCTAGAGGAAGTCGTAGAAAATGGTGTTGAAGGAGAACAAAGAGGCCCAATTAATCTTAGGGAACTGCCTTTCCAACTACTGTTATTTGGTTCAAGGAAAAAGATATGCCTTGCTGTGAATTTGGCTACAGTGCGGGTGCATAATGGAGGCAAGGGGGCAATGGGATCCAGCTGTCGCAAGTTTTTGGCTTCAAGGTCTACATGCTTCAGACAATGGGATCCTGGTGGAAGTTTTTTTTCACATCACCTATCCTCTTTCTTCACCTTGAGGACAAGGTGAATTTTAAAGGGAGAGTATTGATTGGCCATGGGCCTAAAAGTTAGTGAAGTAGTTAGTTTGTTATGGAAATTATTCTAGAATATTCTCAAATAATAGGATATAAGGAGGGGAGTGTGGGAGTGTGTGGCATGCATGAATTCAATACTGTTTTAGTGGGGAAAATTGGGAGACCTCTAGGGAACTCTTGAGCTTAGGTATTTGATTTGAGGTGGAGTTGATGCTTTCTGGGTTTATTTTCTGCATTTTATATTGTATTAGTGTATGTAAAAAGAGGCTATGCCTTAATGAATTCAGTAGAGTATTTTTCTGGGTTCCATCAGACTCAGAAAATGGATGAAGCTTCTATATTGTTCTCCCCCTGAAGCTGTGGGTGTAGAAAGTAGGACTCAGATTCATGGAAGCTAACATCCATAGAGAAAGAATTTACGACTTAGAGGGTGGTAAGTTTATTATCCTTTCTTGTTGGGAGCATAACCAAGGAAGACACACTTAAGGGCTTTAGGCTCTAATTTACTTCGATGCTGTTTATGGATATGGACAAAGGCAACACATCCAAAGACTCAAGATTGGAGACTCTGCATAATTGGAACAGAAGGAA